ATTTTACAATCATAAACGCAATCAGCAGGCAGTCTGGGATTATCTCTAGTATTAAGTTCAAAATATTCACCTGTTAAAAAAAACGAGAGACCTTTCATTTCATTCATTCATTCACTCGTTCTTTTAAATCCAGATTTTCCAATGACTGTTACAGTTTCCTACCTGTCTACACCAAATGGCAATGACCTCTTGTCTATTGGTGTTGCTTAAAAGGAACTCGAAACACCTTTCTCTGAACCATTAGACTTTAGGACTTGTGAAGCAGCCATTCCAGCTGTTTTAAGTCAATAGCAAAGCCTGTGCGACTTCCTGTGCGCGTCAACAGAGGTGTGCGTCGCGCTCAGTGCGCAAAAATCCCGGCGTCTCTGAAGTCAAACCTGAAACTTCAGGTCGCTCTGCGCATGCGCGAAGCAGGAACCTGAGAGACACGCATAGCAGCTGTACCGTGGGAACCGGACGACTGCAGTTTCTGCGCAGCGCACTCGCTTTTCCTCACACGCCGCAGTTTGGCGTGGAAAGCCACACACACGCTGTATACAGTGCAGCCGTTTGCTCCGTTTGTACAGACGCTTCAAACATTTGATCTACCCTGGATCTACCAAACTGTTCTGTTTCGCTTCGTGCGTTATAAACTGCACGTACTTTTTTGGCCAGTAAAGTGACTTTTGCATGTGGCTCGGGCGTTTGGAGACGCGATTAAAAGCCCTTAATACGCGTTTTCAGATCATTGTGGAATCAGAATACACTATTCAAAATCTAATTTAAATCTAATTTGACATTTAAATTGACAAAGACTAGAGCCTAGAGTCATTTATTGAACATATTCAACAACAGCAATCAAGTTTTCGTTTGATATATTATTGTCATCATTTTATTTCCACGTTTTATAATTACTATACATATTTTAGGCAGTCGATTCTGAACAGGTTTCTGAGTGAACTTATACATCCTCAACTGCCTGTATATTAAAGACATGTACAATAAAACATCTCTGCCTAACTGGTTTGGTTAACCTCTGGCAAAAGTACTCATAATTACTTTATTGACACTTCAGATAATCACTTGCTGTCAAATGAAATGCAATACATAAAATTGAGTCACTATATATATATAGCCCAAGGGCATGCAAGAACTATAAATGTAAAATTGCATCATTCAAAAATACACTATTAAGTTAACTTCCACCAAAGCTGAAGTTCACCTAAATGGTTCATTGACCCTTCCACATGAAAAAAATTAAGAAACTAAAATTAAAATGTGCAATGTATGCATCATAATGTAGGTAAACACATCTATTTGGTATATGCATGTTCTGGCTTGCACTCAGTTTAATACAGTATGTAATAAGTATCTCTGCTTGGTTTATGGATATTCTTCAGTGTTTTTCGGGCTAACTCCCAGTTTTTCTAAAGATTAAAAACTAAGGGTAAAGTTTCACCTCCACTTTTGAGAAGTTCACTAATCCTTGGTTATGTGTCAGCTGTCAAGTTCTCATGTTAACATTCTTTTTGTACATGAAACTCAAAGCTCAAAAATAAACCATGTGGAACCAGACTTTGCACATATAAACACTGGGTTAACATGTGGAAGTAATAACTTGTGCACATTATTAATTATTTGTAGTACCTTATCCTAACATGTCATAATGTTAGGATCCCAACATAACATATATCCTTCTTTTGCGGGGCATGTGTGAATACCGGATTTCAGGCATTCTGTTTTGAGACGGACCAGATTTCAGTATGCACAAATTATATTTCAAATGGCTAAAGCATAAAGCTGTTTTCTTTCCTGTGCAAAACATTCCCATCATTTGAAAGAATGAAGCGAAGTGCACTTAAAGTATTTGACCATGTGTGAAACAGAAGTGTTCTTTAAGACCTGCCAGGGCTAAAACATCTCAACACATCTGTTGGCTAATCAGAAAGATGTGTCCGTGCGCTGGCCTTTTGGAAAATATTTGTTGAGAAAACGGAGGGCCTCTCCCAATGGCTGGTTATCACTGGACCCAGGAATTTGCACAATTTCTGGTACTTAGATTTGCCTACAGTGGCCCCACAAAGTTTACACTTAAAGGGACAGTTCATCCAAAAATGAAAATTCTTTCATTATTTACTCTTATGTCTTTCCAAACTTGTATGGCTTTTTTTTTTTTCTGCTGAACACAAAAGATTTTTTGAAGACTGTTAGTTTTGGTTCCCAATGCATGGACAATATTAAAATGGAAGTCAAAGGGAACTGAAGCTGTTTGGTTACTAACATTCTTCAGAATATCTTTTGTGTTCCGCAGAAGAATGGCATTTTAAATGGCATCTATTCAGGGAAAAAACTGCTTGTGCCATCTTTTTTAGTTGATAAATCAGTAGATACTGTTCAAAATGTGCCACTTTTGGTTGTCAAACATTAGTGGACCATGTTCATATTAATTTAATAAACTACTCCTGTGGTTACCCTGATAGGACACCTGTGTGAACTTAAGGAGAACTGACTTCATAAAAAATCACCAGTTCATAAACGTCATTACAAAACTGACTCAGAAAAGCGAGAAAAGCTCTAGCAACATTTGAGAACAGATGACACTTTGTATCTAATGCAATAATTTTTTTAATGAAGTGTTCGAGAAGTTTTTGGGGTCACCGTGCGTGTGTTTGTGCGTGTGTGTGGGTTCACAGAGTTTCTGCAGGTTTTATGAAGGTATTGAATAACACTGCTCCAAACCAATAGAATATGGAAATAACTTTGTATCTTCTGATCACACTGCAAAAAAAAGTGATGTTTTTCATCAGTAGTTTTGTTGTTTTCTACAGCAAATGTCTAAAGATTCTTAAATCAAGATGCACTTAAGAAGCAAAATGACATAAGTCTTGTTTGATGAGACATTTATCAAAAAGAATTGAGTTTATGAACAAATATCTGCCAATAAGCTCAGAAAAATCTACTTAATTCAACGGGAAAACAAGTTTTCATTTTCCATTAACAGATGTTTGTTCTTGTTTTAAACATGAACGCACTTCATTTTGTTCAAATTCTCAGAAAATACATT